TTGCACTATCAGCTAGGGACAGACAGGGTGAGTTGTTGATTGCAAATAATTCCCTGTAGGAATGTCCGATGCTCACAAAAGCTTTTTCTTGTCTTTTCTTTTTAGTTTTGATCACCTTCCTACCTCACTTCTTTGAGGCCTTGGTACCTCCTCTCTTCCTCTTAAAAAGTGGCCTGAAATAGAAGTTTGTGTTTTTGCTTATTTATCAAACATCTCAAACAGCCTGTATGGTGAGCCAAACACTCTTCTAAGCATTTTATAAATATTAATTCATTTAATCTTCATGAAAATCATATATATATATATGGGTTTTTTTTTGAGAAGGGTCTTGCTGTGTTGCCCAGGCTGGAGTGCAGTGGCGTGATCTCAGCTCATTGCAACCTCCACCTCCTGGGTTCAAGCGATTCTTATGCCTCGGCCTCCTGGGTAGCTGGGATTACAGGTGCCTGCCACCATGTCCAGCTAATTTTTGTATTTTTAGTAGAGACAGGGTTTCACCATGTTGGCCAGGGAGGTCTTGAACTCCTGACCTCAGGTGATCCACCTGCCTCGGCTTCCGAAAGTGCTGGGATTACAGGCGTGAGCCACCGTGCCTGGCCAGGAGTAGAGATATTAAGGAACATGCCCAAGATCACACAACTAAAGAGAAACAGCAAGATGCATATCTGGGATTTGAACCCATGCCTCCATAACTGGTGCTTAATCTAGCTCCAGGTGCAGAGGGGCAGGGAGCTGCTGCAGCAGTTGCACTGGGTAGACCCTTTCCTATGCACCTAGCCTTTTGCACTTCTGCCCAAAGCGTGCTGAGCTCTGGACAGAAAGATGACTTTGAAATGTAGAGGTTGACAGCTTTGTGGATCCACATTGTGGTTTTTGGCTAGAGTTTGCTGGGCACTGGTAGTCAATCTTTAAAAATGGTATAATATTCACACTTTTTTTGGTTGGATAATTGCATGCCTTTAATTTGTGGTATTATAAACAGCAGTAATCTAGCTTAAGAGTAGCCAGAAAAAGTTATTTGATATCCGTTAAGTCAGGTTTCTATCTTTATCTACCTCTGTAGAGGTGAATATTATTATGGCCAGGAAAAAGCAACATTGTAATATACTCTAAAGGGTGTCTCTTGAGTGGATAGATTAAAAATAAAAACCCCTTCTGAAGAAGGTAGGCAACTACTCTGCTGCCTTCCCTAACAGGCTAACACAATTTTCCCCTTCGGTATCATGACAATTTGGCTCTCTGTAGGACATGAACATTAAAGGTGGGGGGCGGGGAATCATACCTTTCTTAGTCCAGTGACTTAGAACAGTGATTTAAAAAAAAAAAAAACAAAAACCTACTTAAACTGCTGCCACCTAAAATGTTTACCTTAGTCAGAAAACTCTGATAGTTCAAGATAAATGAAAACATTAGCTCATGCAAAAGAATTGCTTATTTGGTAAGTATGAAGTCCCCTTAGAGTAATCATTGAGAATAAGGGAGTCCATCCTCAGTGATTGCTTTTGGTCAGCGTTCTGTGGTTCAGTGGGCTTATATTCACAGGCAAAGAATAAATAATTTAGATAGCAACTTCTATCGGAAGACATTTCAGTGGTTTGAAAATCTTGACTCTAAGTTAACTGTTCAGCCTTTGGAAATGGATCATCCCTTTTGTTTAGCCCACTGGTGTAGTATTTAGATTAACGTGTAAGTTTGTATTTAACCCGACAGAAACCAAAGAGCCAGATCAGTCACATGCTAGCGGTCTTCCTGGGGCCCTGACAGATGTACATGCAGGAAAGGGGACTGAAGTCATTAGTTTGTGATTAATGTTTGCAGAAAACAATATTTTTACCATTTTATGTATGGAGCAACTGAGTCACGAAGAGGTTAAGTGTCTTGCCCTTGATTACAAGGCTGTTTAGTAGTCCAGGAAAATCTAGCACTCATGCATGCACATTGACCATAATTTTGCATCCAATTCTCTCTCTCTCTCTCTCTTTTAAATTGAGACAAGGTCTTACACCCAGGCTGGAGTGCAGTGATCTAGACTCACTGCAACCTCCAACTACTGGGTTCAAGTGATTCTCCCACCTCAGCCTCCTGACTAGCTGGGACTAAAGGCACACGCCACTATGCCTGGCTAATTTTTGCGGTTTTTGTAGAGAGAGGCTTTCACCATGTTGGCCAGGCTGGTCTCGAACTCCTGACCTCAGGTGATCTGCCCGCCTCAACCTACCAAAGTGTTGGGATTACAGCCATGAGCCACCGCACCTTGCCTTTTAAAAATTATTGTTTTTATTTTGACAGAGGGTTTTGCTCTGTTGCCCAGGCTGGACTGCAGTGGTGTGATCATAGCTCACTGCTGCCTTGAACTCCTGAGCTCAAGCGATACTCCCATCTCAGCCTCTTGAATTCTCACCAATTCTGTTTTGTGAATTACAGTTTCTGTACTTGCCCACAGGCAGGTTACAGGCTGGAAGTGAGAACTAAAACAAGAGGATGCTGACAATCGCTTTCAAGGGGAAGGGACCTACCCAGGCTTGCTATGGGTAACAGAACTGACACAGGGGCTGACGTTCCCCCTGGGCCTGGCTCTCTTGGACCTTCTGGCTCTCCGCTGATTCCCAAAGGCTTCTGTCCATGAGGATTCAATCAGCCTCAGGACGGCTGGCTGGGCTGGGGGGCAGGAGGGTTGTAAATCTGGGAGAGCTGCAAAGTATTCAGGGTCTTGAACTTTATCAGGTTTGAATGTGTGATTGTGAAAGTAAAGAGCAGAGAAATGACAGCACTCAGTAAATCAAACGTAGAGAAGATCAGAACTGTCAAAGACAAGAGAAAAACAGGCGCTGGGCACAAACCGGGCAGAAAAGCTGCAGGGACGGGAAGACTTTTATGTTCCCTCCAGACTTTGCCTTCTGAAAAACAAATCTCTTTCCCTGTCATTTTATCTAGAGAAGAGTATTATTTGTTATATCCCATAAATTCCTTTTTAAAGTTTTCATTATGAAGGTTTAGATCTTCTTTTAGAAGATAGGGTGCTATAAGAAAAAAAACAAAACAAAACAGAAAATCAGTTGAAAAATGACTGGAATGGCCTAGATTTTTTCCCTATCAATAACGTGTTCCCTAGCTTCTCAGAGATCTTTTTTTCTTCCTTCAAAAAAACAATGTGATTAAAGTATAATAAATCTGCATATATAGCAAAACCACATTGAAGAGTAAAAAGGCATAAGAGAAGTCTAAAGTTAGATGATCAGGTCACTTTAATTAGTTCTCTCCCCCCCTCCCCACCCCTGCTAATATCTAATGCCAGTCCTCAAGGTTACCCTTCTTAGTGATCTGTTAATTCACTCCTGTCTACTGCCAGAAAGAGGTTCCCAGGAAGGGGTGCTGCTGGGACAGGGATTCTTTTGTTGGAGCAGAGGAGGAGCCTCAAGATTACTGTCTTTGTCCTGTAGAAGACATTGCAGAAGATCTGTTGCTGGCATTTGCAAGGGGAACAACAAGGGATGTCTCCTCTTCAAAGGAACCAAAGACAAGTAGAGAACCTAATGTTTGTCTCACCCTTCACCTCCTTTCCTACCATAATGCAATAAATAAAGTCTTCACTGCTAGTACATAGAAAAGGCTTGAGACCTCTGGTCAATCACAGGTCCCAACTGAATGAGTGCTCAAAGAAGTTATTTACTGGGAATTAAGTTTGCTCCTGTTGGGCCAAACAAGAAATCGAAATTTGATGTAGTATATGAAAGTCTATTACAATAAATATTAGTAATAATATTCATATAGCGCTTACTATGTGCCAGGTACTATTAGCAGTTTACATGTAAGAAACCTTTTGATCCTCTTAGCAATCCTATAAGGGGAGTACTTTTATTATGCCCATTTTGCAGATGAAGAAACTGTGGCACAGAGAGGTTGGGCTATTTGCCATGATCACATAGCTAGTAAACGGTGGCATCAGGATTGAAACCCAGGCAGGCTGGCTCAGGGTCCTGCGCAGGCCCAATGGCTCCTAGAAATTCCCTCAGTGTATGAGCCACTCCTTTCTTTTCAAACCCACTGGGTTGCCTAGAGGGCAATCTGGACTTGAGTACTTTTTTAGAGAAGGGAAAAAGACTCAGTCATCTCCTTCCATCTTGGAAAGTGGGATTTTGCCCAACCGGCTTTACCGAGGTGCCAACCTTCTAGACTGCAAACACTTCAAAACTAGGAGCTAACTCTTCTCTTTCTTCCTTGTGCAGTGCATACTCAGTATGCACTGGGCAAGTGGCAGGGAACTGGAGGACGGCAACCTGGTAGACAAGCCTTTGGTCCTAATTCTCTGCATATTTGCAACATAGCTGTATGGAGAGGTCATATTTCTGGGTAATTTTTTTGTTTGTTTCTTGGGCACATTTTGCCCCTTTAATTGACTCAAAGTGGGGCATTTGTAATTTAGCAAGTCTCCAAAAGCTGATTTCCTTCTTTTCCTTGCTTCCTTTTAGCATTCCCTGTCCCACACTTTTTGGTTTTGAAAAAACAAAACCAAAAAAACTACTGAACAGTCAGGAAGGTCTTTGAGCTGAGACAGCCCAGGGACAGTGGCATATGGACCCTGGCCCTAGAACTGGCGTGGCCTGCACACCTTGTGATACCAGCAAAATCCAGGAAGAGCCTAGGTCCTGCCTGTCTAGTGGGTTGGACATTTCTCCATCTCTTTCACCTTCTTGGGAGCAGAAATGTTCCCTTTTCCTCTGATGCGCTAATTTTCCCCTCCCCAGAGGCCGGTGGGGTAAGGATTATGTAGGACGGATGATTTTTGGCATTCACCTTATTTGGAAAGATAACAAAAAAAGAGAAGCATCTTCCACTTCCCAGCCAGTGTGAGGGGGCAGACAGCAGACCCTGGGGTGCCTTTTGGAATTGAGAGTCCTGCCCCCACCATCTGCCAGAGAACACACTGGGGGAGGCAGAAGACTTGGGAAAGCCCCCTGCCGGGAAGCCAAGGGGTCTCGTCTGAAACTTACCCCCACCCCATCACCTCCTTGTCCTATTTCAAAGAGGTAGAAAAGGTTTATGCTGGTCTGGAATATGGACTCCTTTTACTTAAGGGAAGGAGAAAACTTCAAAAACATCACAACTGACTCCCCAATCTCACTTTTTAGTATTCAGGATCAGGAAACTGGATCTTCCCTGCCGTCACCCTTTGGTGAAAGGGAAGGGATCACTCCAGGGGCAGGGCCTCGGCCCAGCTGGCAGCCCTAGGCTTTATGTAGTGATGCCAGTAGCAATTAATAATGATAATAAATACCACACTTCAAACCAAACCCAAGCCGAGGATGACTGAATGATTGGACCTCTGCCTCCCACCTGCGTGCGGTTACTCTGCGAGTCCACACCCTCCCGGGCAGCCTCAGTTCCACCCACCACCTTCAGCCTGGGATTCAAAGGGAGCGCTGCCCCAGGACCAGCGACGTGGACCAGCACACTGCCCCTTAGCAGACCCACAGGGAGTGGGATGGTAGGTGGGGGCGGTTGGGTTTTATCTTTATTATTTAGTGGCAGAAAATAATCAAAACGGGGTGGTAATTTCGGCCCCCTGAGCTCAGTTTAGTTTTTCCGCGAAGTGCAGGGGGGCCGTTTTAAGATCCCCACCTGGAGCTCCAGAGCTCCCGGGGACCCCCGTGTCCACCCCGTCTCCCAGGGCCTGGCACTCCCTGGCCCCGCAGCCCGGGAACCTCCACCTTCCCCAGGCGGCAGCCACAGGTCCCGCTGGGCCCATCTGAGGTCTGCGGCCGCCGAAGTCGGGGTCTTAGGGCGTCAGGGAGCAACCAGGCCTCGGGGAGGGAGGCCGGCGCCGGCGCGGAATTTCTTTATCGGGATTTGAGATCCGCAAGCTTCTCCTTCGCTTCTTTAAGCGATCACGGAAAGACACCTTTCGATCTTTTGTCAGACATTTTGGCCCTTAATAGCTAAATTTATTTGGTTTAAAGCGGCTACGGGAGAAGCAGGGAGGGAAAATCTTTCGTCGGTCATTGGGTGGCCTAGATAACAGACTTGGAGAGAGAGGGGAGAAGAAAGTAAAAAGGTTAATGGATGAGGGGAGGGCTGGAGGCGCCCGGCGTGGGGCTTTTACGGCGACCCTCCCCCGACCGCCCCCTTATCGCGGCCCGAACTTACCCGCGGCGCAGCGAGTACATTAAGTCACGTAAACAGCGCGGAGAGGAATGCCACCGCGGTGACCTTTCGTGCGCCGCCGCCGCGAGCCCACCTCCGCGCCGTGCTGGCGGCCGCCGGCGGCGCGCGGGGGTCGGCCGGGGGCTGCGCCGGGCGAGGGGCCTCCGGGCCGGGCCTGGCCTGCGTAACGCGCCGGGCCTCGATTCCGACCGCCCGGGGACCCCGGCGCTGGCTCTGCGCGGTCCTTCCCCCGAAGTGACCGGCGGCGGGGAGCCGGCGCTGGGGGTGGGGGCGACCTTTGAGTTTCCGCCGCCACCACCTGACGTTTCTAAAGAGTGTTTTTGGTTTTCCGAGATTTAAACTTAAAAGAAAGAAAGAAAATCACCGCCAGGACTCTGGTCGACGGCCTACGGTGCAGTGCGACCACTGAGTGGGGGACACGCCGCCTGGAACTCGCCACTGGCCCCAGACGCTGGCAGGGGTGGGGGGCTCTGAGGTGACCCTGGGTCCTTGGGTAAAAGCGTCCCGAGACGGGAAGAAATATGGTATAAGCGAGAAGGCCTCATAAATCTGGGCTGTTAAAAATCTAAGTTAAAAATATGTTTTAAGTCAGAAATGCATTCTTTTTCTTTATGAAACATCGCCGAAGCAGCCAGTTTTGTGACAGGATAGTAAAATGAGCGTGAGTTCGCGGGGGTGGAGGTGCACCGGGACGCGGGTCCTTGCCGGGTCTCGCCGCTCCTCCGGAAGCGGCGCAAGACTGGGTCCCCAAACACCCTTCCCGTTTGGCAGCCAAGCCCCCGCCCCCTGCCCAATTGGCTGCAGTGTTCTGGGTGGATTTGAATCGCGAATAGTGGTGTGGCGCGGCCCAAATAAATCAATCCTGGGGACAGGCCGCGCCCGGGAGCCAGCCCTCTGTGAGGGTAAGGGGAACGACTCGCCCAGGAGGGGCCGCTCATTGGGTCTAAACAGTCCGGAGAGAAACGGTTTCGTTCAAGATTAGCAAATCCCGAAAGAGGAGACAGGCGGGGGTGGAAAAAAAAAAAAAAAGGAAAAGAAGGAAAAGAAAAAATATATATATACCCACGAAGAAAACAGGAACTTTTAAGAGCTGTCCGTGTACTTTGGACACTAGTGGGTGCCTTCTCCCCAGCTCTTGGGTTTCTCCCTAGTTTGGGGTGCACCTCTTCCCTCAAAACTTCCTAATCTGCCGGCCTTCTAGACCAGCTGGGGCGCACCCAGGAAGCTCCACGAGCGGGCCTGGGGCTCATGGGAGTGGCTTTGAAAACATGCTTGTCTTCCCCAGAGTTGTCCCTAGCGCCAAAGATGCACTGGGGAAAAGGCACATTGGAGAGGTCAGGCAGCTTGGTTTTCTGTCTGAATCAACTGTACGAGTTAAACAGTTTTATTTTGAAATTAACCAACACACACAAAAACAACAACAACATTCACTACCCATTCCCTCGTTTGGTTGGAAAACCAGTCTGAAAAAATAAATACAATCTGTGACCATGAAAAGGAGCAATCACTTATTTTTCCCATTTGTTTTGAACATTATTTTTAAAAATAGATTGGGAATCTGGAGGGTAAAATGCCGGGTCCCTTCCCGAGCCCTTAGAGCCCGAAGGTTGTCGAATCGGTCAATGTCCACCCCGCCGCTCACCTCTGTCCCAGCAGCGCCGGGGCCAGCGCGCCCTTCTGCCGCGTCTGCGGAGCTGCGGGAAAAGCAGGTCCCCCGGGGGTATCGAGTGTCCAGGGATTTCCACGCAGACATCCTTGTACTTGCAAATACAAAGAAACACACAGGACAGAGATCAGGCTCGCGCCAGGGCTCGATCTCCTCGGGGCTCAGGGTTGGAGGCCATTCACAGCCTGGACACAAACTGAGCCAGAAAGTTTATTTTTAGCAAACAAGATAGAGTTTTTAGAAAATTGCTTTTAATAGCAAACCTGAGAAACATTATTTCAAAACGTTGGAATCAAAAGAAATCAAATGTCCACAACACATTTCCGTCACTGCTTACAACTGAGCTTCTGCAGAACGCAGTCCACTTAAACATTTGGTGAAACTCACGAAAAGAACCAAAAGCAAGGCATTCCGGGTCCTGGCGGGGGCTGAGCGGCCGGGCGGACGCCTGGCTATCTCTTCTGGGAGTCGCGCATTCAATCGCACTCAGGTTAAAATTTAAAGCCCCTGGATCCTGCTCCAGTAGCCAACCTCTCCATTCCAGAGTTTTCTACCTTCAGCCTTTTCAAAATGTGGCCACGCTGAAACTGGGAGCCGCCGCAGTGATTGGGGGAGGCAAAGTGGATTGTAATAAAAGTAACTAAATTGGACGAGAACGGTTTCTGGACCTTCTCGGTAGCAATTTAAAATTCAGAAGTGTTTAGAAGCAATTTACAACGAAGAATGAAAAAAGAAGAATTCTCTCCAACTTCCTGAATTCCTCGCCCCTTCCTCCGCACTGCCAGGCCCTGTCCCCGCTCCCCCAGGAGCCACAAGTTCACAACTCACAGTTACTTGCAGAGGAAACAACGTTTAGCGACGAGGTCTCACCGTCTCTGGAAACCATACTTTACAACGCACCTCCCCACCCCAGTTCAACTCTGCACAGGCTCCTCTCCCTTCCCTAACTGGGAAAACACGAAAATAAAAACAAAACAAAAAACCAGAGCCCAAACGCTTTCTGGGAGACCGACCTTCAGAAAATCATTTACTTCGATTTACCTGGCGGGGGGGAGAGGGGGCGGGCGGGGGAAAGCATAAAAATGCATTCTCACAAAAACAACTCCTCTTGTCCTAAACTCTCCCTCGGCAGCCTTCTGGGGTCACGTCTGTCGGAAGAAATCCTTTCTGTGAGCGAAAGGGAGCGAGACATATATCACGGCTCCTGCAGCGGACGAGCCTGCGGCCGCGCGAGTCGCCGCTGACAGATCAGCGCTGATAACCCCGCGACGTTCATTTCCAGTCCCTTTGCCCGCTAGGGACCGTATCAGTTTGTACAGAGTTGTGATAACTGTTTGGAGGGAGCGAAGAGGGGGTGTGTATATGAACGTGGGGGTGGGGAAGCAGCATTCAGCTCTGGGTCCAGGGAAGGTGACACCCCCTCTTCGCAGTGACTTATCTGCGACTTACCTGAAACTCTCCAGGGAAATCTCCGTGCAAACGGGACATCAAAAGTTGGAGAGCGTCCTCGAACACCACTGATGTGGAAGCCCTTTTCCATTCTGCGCACCCCATAGACTACCTTTCCGTACAGGACCACCCGAGTTAAAGTTCCCAAAAGTCAACTGGGGAATTTTGTCGTGAGGTTCCCGAAACCACCACGACCTGAGCCCTAGCATCCCAAGATAGGGTCGGAGAAAGTTTAAGGTCGGTCTCACACAATCGCAGGGCAAAAAGCACATTTGCTGTGAAGGGGCTAGGCGGGGTTGGGGGACTGGGGGGCGCAGAGCACATTCTCCCCTCCTTCTGGGGGCGTGCTGACCCAGGGGCTGGAGCGCCCCTCCCGCCGCGGCGGCGGCGCGGGGCTGTGCACTGCCAACTCCTCCCGTGCCAAGGCTCCCTCCTCCTCCCTCGTGTGGGTGTGTGTGTGCGACTGCGGGAGCGGGAGGGTGCACAGCCGCTGTGTGGGTGCGGGTCGCCAGCCAGGTCAGGCGTTCTGTGGCCTCCGCCCCTCCCCCGGCGTCCCTGGGCTCGGCGCCCCCCGGGTGGACTCGCCCCCACTCCGGGCACAGGGCTCGCGGCTCAGCCCACGCCCGCAGGCAGCGCGGCGCTCATTGTCTGCCTGGGCGGTGCGCTCCCCTCCCCCTCGCCGTCCCCTCCCCACCCTCTTTTCTCTCCTCCCCTAGATCCCTCCTCCTCCTCTTCACCTCCAGCGCCCAGCTGCTCGCTGAGCGCAGTTCCGACCCACAGCCTGGCACCCTTCGGCGAGCGCTGTTTGTTTAGGGCTCGGTGAGTCCAATCAGGAGCGCTGGCTGCAGTTTTCCGGCAGAGCAGTAAGAGGCGCCTCCTCTCTCCTTTTTATTCACCAGCAGCGCGGCGCAGACCCCGGACTCGCGCTCGCCCGCTGGCGCCCTCGGCCTCTCTCCACGCCTGGGAGCACCCTCCGCCGCGGCCGTTCTCCATGCGCAGCGCCCGCCCGAGGTTCGGCTGCTTCCTCCTCGCGCGATCTCCCCGCTTCCCTCCCCTCCACCCCTACTCGTCGCGGGCCCCTGGGCCTCCGGCGCTCCGGCCCTCTCCAGGCCGCGGTCGGCTCCAAGGGTGTCTCCCTCCTCCCCTCCGGGCGGGCTGAGGCGGCTCCCAGGCTCCCGGGACACCGCGGACCAACTTCTAGTCTCTTTTCCTCTCCTCGAAGCGCTTATCTGCGCGCAGCCTTATCTCCGAGTTATCTCGGCGCAAAGGGGCGGGAGCCGGTAGTTAGGCAGGCAGAGAAACTTCTTTCTTGCTATCTAGCCAGGTCTGTGTGTGGGCATTAATTTTAGTGTGGTAATCTCCGATGAGCCGAGGCGATTTGGAAGAGCAGCCTAGAGGAGGCCAGCCCGGCTGCATTTCGCCTCCCTCCCCCACTCCTCCGATTCTCCCTGTCATTCTTCTTGCTCTCCCCTTTGGGGTCGCCTCGGCTCTGGGGCAGTCTCACGCCCCCCCCCCGCCCCCAGCCCCTTGCGTTCCCCCTCCTTTTCTCTGCTCTCCGCTCCACCCCGCTACGTCCGATTCCGGGAGGGTCCGGCCTTTCTGCTGCTGGGGATGACCGCGGGGTGGGCCGGGCTGCCCGGCCGGCGTGAGCGCGCACGCTGGTGGCTGCAGGCGCGGGCCGTGTCTAAGGTGTGCGGCGCCGCGGGGACGCCGGTGGGGCTGGCGATTCCCGCCCCGCGAGCTCCCTGCTCTGCCTCTGCTGGGAAGGACCCGGACTGCTGCCCCCTCCCTGGCGTCCCACTTTCCCTGGGCCGAATGGCATTTCTCTCTGGGGCTCGCGTTCGGGCTGGTCAGCGCAGTCCGGGAAACTCTGGTAGAGCCAGTATAGGAGAACGCGGCGGTTTCGTTTTCGGGGACAGGTTGCCTTCCTTACGCGAACGGTTTTCCCGTGGGGAACCCTCACCCCGAGGCATTTCGGGAGAGGGGCATCCGCAGAGAGGCGGGATGCTGCGGTGCCAACACGCACAGCTACTTAAATTCTTTTGTGTGTCATCAGCCCGGGGGAGACACTTTAGGGCGGAAGGAAAGTCTCATCCAGCTTCTGCGGATCACCCCTGGGATCTGGCGCGCGCACGGATAAAGGATGCGGCCGAGGGGGTGGGCGGGGAGGACGCGGCGACCGGAGCGGTGCCTTTGAGGGAGGGCTGGTATCCCAGTCCTTCCAGGGCCCTGTGGCGACTCCGCAGGCTCCTTTCCCCTCTCCCTTATTAATCCCCACGCCCCAGGCAGAAATGGGATCTTTGAGAAGTCTCAAATGGGATCTTTGAGTTCTCAAAGATCCCATTGGAGGTGGATCCCATTTGAACTAGAATAAAGGAGTGGAGGCGAGGTAGTGTGCAGCCTACGCTCTTGGTAACTCGGCTATCTCCTACCATCCCCGTCTCCCCCACCTCGCCTCAGGAGCTAGACGTCAGCTTGCAGCGGCGCCGGACCGTGGATGGCCTTGACTGACGGCGGCTGGTGCTTGCCGAAGCGCTTCGGGGCCGCAGGTGCGGACGCCAGCGACTCCGGAGCCTTTCCAGCGCGGGACCCCTCCACGCCGCCTTCCCCCATCTCTTCCTCGTCCTCCTCCTGCTCCCGGGGCGGAGAGCGGGGCCCCGGCGGCGCCAGCAACTGCGGGACGCCTCAGCTCGACGCGGAGGCAGCGGCTGGACCCCCGGCCCGCTCGCTGCTGCTCAGCTCATACGCTTCGCATCCCTTCGGGGTTCCCCACGGACCTTCGGCGCCTGGGGTCGCGGGCCCCGGGGGCAACCTGTCGAGTTGGGAGGACCTGCTGCTGTTCACTGACCTCGACCAAGCCGCGACCGCCAGCAAGCTGCTGTGGTCCAGCCGCGGCGCCAAGCTGAGCCCCTTCGCACCCGAGCAGCCGGAGGAGATGTACCAGACCCTCGCCGCTCTCTCCAGCCAGGGTCCGGCCGCCTACGATGGTGCGCCCGGCGGCTTCGTGCACTCTGCGGCCGCGGCGGCAGCAGCCGCGGCGGCGGCCAGCTCCCCGGTCTACGTGCCCACCACTCGCGTGGGTTCCATGCTGCCCGGCCTACCGTACCACCTGCAGGGGTCGGGCAGTGGGCCAGCCAACCACGCGGGCGGCGCGGGCGCGCACCCCGGCTGGCCCCAGGCCTCCGCCGACAGCCCCCCGTACGGCGGCGGAGGCGGAGCGGCTGGCGGTGGGGCCGCGGGGCCTGGCGGCGCTGGCTCGGCCGCGGCGCACGTCTCGGCGCGCTTCCCTTACTCGCCCAGCCCGCCCATGGCCAACGGCGCCGCGCGGGAGCCGGGAGGCTACGCGGCCGCGGGTAGTGGGGGCGCGGGAGGCGTGAGCGGC